TATTAGGAGTGTCCCGCGCGCTCATATGACCTTATGCAGTTGCGAGCGCCGTAAAACACTTTACAAAAACAAAACAATAAGAGAAAAAAATGATTTTGATAGTTTCAAGGGGAGTGCAGTGTTTTGTAACCACAAAGGTCAGAACGAGATGAGCTGACTGTCGCTGACGTTGTGGGGTGGACAGTGTCGGCGGCTGACAGGGGACAATGACGTGACTAAACCACTTACTGCAATTTGGTAAAAAGTCGCCTTCAATGAATTCTTCTGTCGAATAAACTGGGATCTGTGAAACGCAGGAACTCTTAGACCTGTTCCGTAACTCAATTCTCGGGTCTGGCAGCGAGGTGGTTAATGTAGTGCGACTATAACCTTTTAAAAGTTTTAGTAAGAGTTTTACGGCACTCGCAACACAATGAGGTCATATTATATGTGCCGAAGAATAGAGGTGTTACATGAGAGTAACAAACATAAAAAAGAAGAATGAGAAATAAAGACGAGAGTTGTTTGATAGGAAAGAAGGAGCAAACCATATCAGAGCACCCACCAACCACTATAACTTTTTCAAACTTAGACCAAAAATCTAAGGACAGTTACTTTTTCCCCGCGTGTATACAAATAATGGTAACAATAATGATAGTAGGCCTAAAGTTGATAATTCTGCTGACGATGAAAACTGAAAACTACTACTACTACTACTACTACTACTACTACTACTACTACTACTACTACTACTACTACTACTACTACTACTACTACTTCTACTACTACTACTACTTCTACACACACGACAAACATAGAAATGAGGAAAGATGGCGGCAATGTCAAAGATTTATTCCTGATCACACAGCTGTTGGGTACAACCGGGAGGAACTGCTGGGGTCGTATTGAGGTCGTAGGTCGGTCTAGAGAACAGGTCGTATGTCGTAGATCGGTCTATAGCTGTCTTAGGCAGAGGTCGTATGTCACTCTAGGTACAGGTCGTATGTCGTATGTCGGTCTCTGGCTGTCTCTGGCACAGGTAGCGGGCCTTGAGGGTACAGGTCGTATGTCACTCTAGGCACAGGTCGTATGTCGTATGTCGTATTATATGTCGTTTTATAGCAGCCTCTGACAGAGGTAGCGGGCCTTGAGGGAACAGGGCACGTCCACTTGGCGGAAGTTTCCGCTGCGTCTTTGGAGGATCACACAGTTCTCGTTTCTGGACGCACCTGGTTTGAGGGGTGGGTGGGTGGGAGGAGGAGGGGTGAGGGGGTGAGAGGATGAGGTTGTGAGGTGAGGGGGAG